GGAACCATCGATGACCAGCATCAACCATCGATGATAGCATTTAACCATCGATAGTTTGGACGTATTTTGGTAGATTTTTTAGATTCAACCTCAGTCATGTGATCACAGATTTAATCTCCTATTTTAACACTAATTAGAAAACTTTTTTCCAAGAAAATCAAGGTCTATTTAAGGAGGGATTGGAGAAGAGATTAAAAATAGAAAATAGAGAGGATATTTGCTTAAGCTTGAGGGATCAAATTCTAGGGTTTGTAAGAGTTGAGAGTTAGAATTTGATTCCTTGAACCTTGTTTAACTTTTCTCATCGCACACGACATCTGAGAGATCGTTTCATCAAGGAGGAGTGCCCTTTGCGTTCATATACAATATCGCTTTTTCACGATTCTTCAACATCATCGTTTTGGAGAGCGATTTATTTAAAGTGTTGTAAGATCTATTCAATTGTACTTTAATTATTTTTAGGGTTGGTTTTGTATTTCAAGGATGGTGTACTCAAGTCGGGTTAATTGAGGGTTGGTGTGCTCAGACCAGGGTAATTGAGTGTGGCTAGCTAGGGCTAGGTTTCTTCTGATCATTGTGAGAAGTTTGGTATCTCAGCTAGTTTTAGGCAGATTCCAAGGTCCTATTTGTAAAGCTTACTAAATTAGGTTGTGATTCAAGGATAAATACAATTATAGTGAAGAAGACCCTTCACGAGAAGGAAGAGTGGACGTTAGATTTTGATTCGAACCACTATAAACATCTCGTGTGTTCCTTGTTGGTTGCTCTTAGTTTTTCATATTTTATTTTTCACTACCTATTCTTTGTTTATCTGAAAAATTTGTCGCAATCATATTCACCTCTCCCCCTCTAGGCTTGTATCCTGTTTTCCAACAATAAAAATTATGAGTACCTAAAATATATGCAATACTGATAAAAGAAAAATCTAAAATGATGCATCCAAAAAGGTACATAATACACTCAGTTAGGTCCTTATACTCTCTCCTCAACAATAGTGGTGTCATCTCTCATCTCATTCTGTCTCTCTCTCGTCTCTCTCTCTCTCTCGTCTCTCTCTCTCTCTCTCCAGATCCTCCTTCTCTCTCTCTCTCTCAACTCATATGGAAATCTGTGTCCTTATACTGCAATTAGGTTAAGCCTCACCGAGCCCACTTCTGCCACCTCAAGCTCGTCCTTGGCATGTTGGGTAGGTTGGCGCTCAACCTCAATCTGCACCAGAGTGTGGTCCTTATTCTGCTGCCCTGCGTGACTTGCTTGGACAAGTGCCTTATCTTCCTGGTACTCTTTAGAAGCTCACGCTTGAGCTTATCAATCTCAGATGATTTTTGGACGTCCAAGGCCTTCAGATCCTCCATCATCCGCTCTCGCACCTCCATCTCTCACTACCAGTCACCCAACTCCTGCTCCTTGGCCGACAACTCCTTGAGGGCTTCCTTGAGGTCACCACCCATGTTAGCTTGGCGAGCCTCCACCTCCTCTTGGAGTTTGAGGTAAGAGGTTCGGATCTTCTCCATTCGGCCAAAGAGTTCTTGTTCCACGAAAGTCTTGCAAACCAGGTAGCTCTGGAGGGCTTTATGGAGGTCGACATTAGGGACATTCTCCAGAATCTCCACGTCGCGAGGTAACCAGAACTGTTCCATAGCTCTTATTTGAGCCATACGGGATTCAAGGACCGACCCCCTCACATCGAGATGGCAACAAGGCTGGTGATGAGCCCGGAGAGGGCTCCCTGGTATACTGAGGGCCAACACCTAAGGACCCAATCAGTAGCATCCTCATTCTCTCCCAATCCTCCGTATCGATCTCGCCGACCTAGTAAGAATATAGATATGCCAAACCCCCTATAGGAAAGGTCTCCTCTTCGATCGGCTCTTTCCCCCAGCGATGAGCCGACTCAGCTGGGTCGATAGAGGCCCCCTCCTCCTCTATATAGGCTTCGATCTTGACCCTAGCCTCACAATAGGCCTCTTCCCCCTCTTCCTGAGCCAAAGACCCCTCATACAAATGGATGACTTCGGCCTCACCTCCCTCGGCTGCCCTTCCAGGCCCTCCACGACTAATCTTGTGAGGCACCTTCTTTGTCTTCTCTGCTGGGGCAACCGAAGTTGCTAATCTCGCTGACCTAGTCAGAACGTCGACCACCTGTTCGCAAGCCGTTGCAGCCTCTCCAGAAGCCAAGTCTTGGCGAAGGCGCTTCGTCGGCCTCGCTAGCTGCCTTTCTTGAGGCTCAGCAAGAGGGGCTATCGGCT